AAAGTCTATCAGAAGTTCTTAAAGCAGAGAATGTTAGAAGATTATTTTGAAGATTTCAAGAAGTCATAAACTGCTTAAAGCGACAAAGTTCAAAAGAGATTTAAAGTGTGCAATTTGTTTCAAGCCTGAATACAAGGGGGGGGATATTAGGACTGAATTTTAATGTTAAATTGTATTCGTCTTGAAAGTCTATAATTGTAATGTTAGCGTGTTTGACATTGTAAGAGTTGTTGACTTTGACTAGGGGGTTCAATGTTTGACCCTATATAAAGCTTTGTCGTCTAGTGAATTAGTGTAAGAAGAGCTCATTTGTAAATCATATGTATACTTAGAGATTATAGAAGTTTGACATGTTTGACTATTTCTCTCTACTCCTTCTATGTGTTCTTAATGTTCATAATGAAGCTTGCCATTGATTCTATGAAGATATAAGAAGATTGATCATATTGTGGACTAACACTTACCTAACTAGGCGATGCAGAAAGGCAGGAGGACAAGGTGAGAAGACGATGATTGATGGCGAGAGGTTGGTGAGCGATGCCGAGAGGACGGCGAGGAGAGAATACGACGAGCGATGACGAAAGGATCACGAGCGACGACAAGAGGATGACGAGCGAGTGACGACAACACAATGGAGTGAGGGACGCTGATAGTCGGGGAAAAATCTAGGGCTATGTTGATTTCTAATTCATCTTTTTTTTAATAGTTTTGATTTACTTTTTAGAAGAAAATTTTGGTCACTAAGCATTTTCTTGTAATGTTTTGGGGCACGTAACTTGGGAGCGGCCGGTATTGTGAGGAGAAACATTTGAGTTTAGTAGCGACAAATTTATATGAAGCTTACAAACGTGTAATTAAAAGATTTTAGGACCAAATGCATAAAACCACAATACTTGATGCTTAAAAATTTGTTAAATATATTTTATTAGTTTATATAAATAAATAAATAAATATATATATAAAGAGATCAAAAGTTAACCAAAGTTTTTGTGTTAACTTTACAAATCATATTAACCAATCACAATCCATGTTACTATTAGGTTTTTATCTAGCTTACAATTTAATGTCAAGGGTAGTTAAGTAATTTCATTTTTTATGTAACTTCCATATCATTAATTGAGAGTTACAAAATCATAAAATCTCTAAAAATGTGCATTTTTAATATTGATATTTTTATTTTTTTAATATTGATCTTCCATATCTATTGTTTTATGAGTTTGTGATTCGTGGAGGAAACACGGCAGTAAAATCTTCACTATCGTTCAAGCTATTATGGATAAACACATTGGAAAAGAACTCAACAACATTGAGAAGATTGAAATGGTTTATGGTGACAATCGGAGTTCGAGTTCGGAAAGTAAAGAAAATAACCAAAACGAATGTCTTGGTAATGAATTAATATTTTATTGTACTCGTTTTAATAGAAATTATGTTCATTATGATGTGTTGTGTTTTTTGTAGTTCATATTGTATTATTAGTTTTTTCTTTAATTATTAATACGTACCTAATTCACACGTTCATATGAAATTCCATGCACGACCCATTCACTACAAAAATGCTGGCTTCCCTCGCTGATCCGTCGCTGAAAGGGTTGTCCGTCGCTGATCCGTCGCTGATACTCCGTCGGTCAAACAGTCGTAGGTAATGCTATCAG